GGTCTCGTTGCACAAATTGGGTACAATCTGAGTGTCAAAATAATTAAGTACAGTAATGAAGTAAAAACCAGTGAGGGATTCAGGAGTATGTATGAATAATGAATAGGGACAAAAGGAAGGCTTTTACAGTAACACGTGCAGTGCCAACTGGTCAACGTGGAGAGTGCTGGATTTGGAAAATCATTTTGCAGCCATCGTGGTGTATACATTGTGGTGTATACATCGTGGTACACAGGGATATATGGTGAGGAGCAGGATATTTGCCTGGCCTTAGAAAGCATCTCCCCCCAAAACTGGTAGACAATAGACAATGTGCAACATCTTGAAAAAGTGACTGAATGTAACATCACCGTGGGGCAGATGGAGATGGTGTGCCTCCACCGAGGACCTTCAGAGAACACAACATCACATATCCAGAGTTCCATACTGGATATAAATTATACCTCAGTATAGCTTATTTGAAAAGGTACAAAAAGTACCTTTCATAGTCCATGGTTTGAAAAGGTTCTGCATTAGTTTAGAGGCGAAAGGAATACTCTGCTTGTATCCATGATACAGCAGTCCCCTGAAGACCTCTGAAGAGACCATCTCTACCCACAATGGACAAAAGCCAGAGATAAAGTCACACGGTCCTCCATTCTGAAGCACATTACGGGACAAAAAAGAAAAAAAAAAAAGCATTTTTACAGTAACATCTATTTGGCAGTTTAGAGAATGTTCACATAAAGGGCCAAAATAAAACACAAAAACTGAATGAAATCTTGCCTCCAAGGACCCCTTCGTATCATCCCACATCCTAAGAACACTGTTACTTTTCTCCAAAGTTTCTCTTCATAGTGGGGAGAAGTTTCTATGTGTCCTGCACAAGTCCACACATGGGCAGCCATCAGTACCTTAACCTCCCCATTTCTTATGGCCCTATCCACATGATCCCCCCAGGCCAGAAGATCCCCCTTCATGCACTGCCTGTACCATCTTTTATTCTCTATTAAGCATTTATGACAATCCTCCCAACAGTTACTTGCAAACAAACACTTCCAACTTAGCACTTACAAATGATCTCCAGCATGTGGGAAAAGTGTTGGTTTGAACCGAGGGAAGAGTAAGGAACATGGGCATACTTAATAACCGTTTCACTCCTTTGCTTCTTCCGAGCCAGAAAAGTCACTTTCTATTGAGACAACCATCCTCCCTCCACCCTTTCCTCTAACAGACTTCCAGCCTATGAACGTGATCATTAGTCTCAAGATGATATTTTGTTATAACCAATGCAATAAAATTTTAGGGGACTCAGATTTTCACCCGTTTTGGTGTAAGTACAAAGATAGACCCTGAAATCAGCTTATGGTTCAGAAAGTAAGGGAAACTCAAAGCCAAACATTACCGTGAAAGCACTACCAGGACATTTTAGGTCAACTGCTATGCAACCTGCAACCGATCGACTAAAATAGAAAGTAACACCTCACTGGTGGCAAAAAAACGCTCAAAAATGGAGTGAAGGCAGCATAAATTTAACCACGGCCAGACAAACCCAAGAGAAGTTAGTCTACGACTAAGAAAGGGTACAGCCAGGGTTTGAACCCAGGTGGTCTGGCCTCAGCGCTTAGATTTGCAGTCCCTATGCCAGCCTAAGTTGAATACCAATTCCCCAGCACACATGCCTCCCAGACAGTTCCCCCACACGAAGGTCTACATCCAAAATTGAGTGTTTCCAGAGACTGACGGCTTAAGTCTTAACAATTTACTAAGCCTAATCTAATATTTAAAAAAGGCCATTGTCCAGACACTTTCTTCCTGTACTGAGTAGTACTCATCAAGATTCTTACTAGAACTCCTTTCAGTCCCTTTATCTGAAGAGCTGATAAGGAATCTCTCCTACTAAACTCAACCATATTCTTTATTCCCCCCATCTCCTTCAGCTAAGAGTGTTACACTGACATTTCACAATTACTAGCCCTAACCAGACAGCAGCTTTTAGCTTTCCTGGCTGACAGGAATCTAGGCTTTTATTATAAATGCAAACAGGATACGGCTCTATTGAATGCACTTCGGAAACCTCCTCAAATCATTTTGTTGAAAAAGCATGCTTCCTTGTCACCGAGTTGGTGGCTTTTCAGGTCATTCCATACTCCACACAGGGTCCTCCACTCCCATTGGCAAAGTGGGGTTTTTCACCTGAGGCATCTGAGGCGTGGGTTATGTAATGGTGCCATTAAAGAGACTCCGATCAATTCTTCAAACTGCACAGCTAGAGACAAATCAACATACACCAGGTCCTGATTCCTGTATTTTTTTAAAAGCTTTTTTAAAGTTTATTTGTTGTGTGTGTGCATGCATGAGTGTGTGTGTGAGAGAGAGACACACACACAGAGACACACAGACACAGACACAGAGAGACAGAGAGAATCCCACACAGACTCTGAACGGTGATCATGGAGCCCAATCCAGGGCTCCATCTCACGAACTGAGATCATGACCTGCGCTGAAATCAAGAGTTGTACGCTTAACCAGCTGAGCCACCCAGGCGCCCCGAATTTCTGTATCTGTGAAGTCCTTTCCTCTTCCTGGATCTGTGGAGTCATTTCCTCCTCAATATCTGACGCTCTTGCCCAGGCCTGAAGTCGATACGGACTAAAAGCTTTCTCCATTTTGATCTAACTAGACCAACTTTTCTTTCCTTGAAGCTTTCCAGGAGGGGGACTCCTTGTATTCAAAATTAATAAACTGGTAGGAGAGAGGATTCCTGTCTGAAAGGGATGAAATGGAAGAAATGGAAGTGTGCCCTGCTCCCTTGAAGAAACCAGAGGTTTTGAAGTCCCTCCTTGGGGTTCCTGACAGCTCTATGTGGTTTGGAAACTATTTCTAGTGGTTTCTAAGTAACTAGCACGGAGCCAATATGCTAGTCACAGCTGGACACAATGAAAACAGGGATCTTGGGAGGTCAGGCAGTGCCTGGAGGGTGCAGGAAGACTGGGGCAAAGGCATGGGGGAGGCAAAGAAGATATTCTAGTGACTAGTATTAAACTTGACCTCCAGGGCAAACAACTTCCCTACAATAATTTTACCCCAGTTTGAGTGCAAACGCAAGCATCTTACTACACCCCCCCCCCAAAAAAAAACCAAACACCAGGCTTGATGCCAATGCAGTATGGCTCAGTGTCCTGCTCAAACCGTCATAGGAAACTCCTGGTATGTTCCAGACCCTGTGCTTCATACACTGACACAAATCAACATACTTCACACCACGGAAGATGGTTCAGACTTCCCTTGAAAAGAAGCTTGCGGCCAAAACCAGGTGAGCCCCTATCAGTCTGTGGGGCCTGAGGCAAGGGTACAAATGGAGGCCTAAGTAATTACTTTAAAGAGGTCATCAAGCTAGCCAACTGTCACGCAATCCTCCTCCCTTAACAAATGGAGCTTTTTAACAACCTGAAAGGCCAGGTACTATTTACAATTGCAGGTTCCCTGGGAGTTCCCGGCCAGACATGAAACAGCCCTGCCAATGGACACACGCTCTTCCCTCCCCCACCCAGGCTCCCTCTCCCCTCAGGGAGGCCTGGGGGGGGGGGGGAGCACACCTGTAGACCCTCAACCCACATTTCCAAGCTCTTCCATCACTCCAGCACAGCTGCCCTTGGGCATTCCTTAGGGATGGGGTCTGCCCCCCCCACACTTGCGGAGGCCTGAGGCCTTGGAAACTGGCTTGGGGCCTTTGGGCACGGAATTCCGATGGGAGTATGGGAGGGGGGAGGGGGTGGCAACAAGTATCCTGGTGGGGCAGCCCACTCCATCAGCAGACACCAAGCCCAGTGGGGAGGGGTACAGCCTAGTGAAGGCCAGACACCCCTACATAAACTCTCTGAACTCCAGGGAGTAAGTGCAAAAGCCTTCCTTTGCCCAGGCGTGAAGGCGACATGGACTAAGAGCTTTCTCCATTTTATTGTAACTAGACCAACTTTTCTTGAAGCTTTCCCACAGGGTCACTCCTTGTATTCAAACATCAAGTGGTGGGAGAGGATTCCTGTCTGAAAGGGATGAAAGAGTCGAAATGCTTCCAACTCTCTAGAAAGATCTCACAGCTACTATCCTCATCTGAAAGAAAACGTCAATACTCCTCAAGCAGCCAATGGATCGCACAGGGTTCTAAAACAAAAATCAGAAAAGGTGGGCTCCACAAATTGGGCAAACCTTAGCATTTTCTTTTCTGTTTTTGAACGTTAAGAACCAGAGGAGTAACTAGTCACTGCAGCTGGGGCAGCCCATTCCAAACTCTAGGAAGGGGCGCAGGCCGAGTGAAACCGAACAAGGGAGGCTTGGGCCTGCTGCGTGCAAACAGGCCTGGCCAAAGGGAGTCACCGAAGGGAGGCAATTGTCATCACAGTAGGGTGAGTGGCTAGAGCCTGCACATCACCCCCGTTACTGACCTGGTATCTGCTTTGTCTTTTCTCAAAGCAAGTTTACCAATTTTCCGGGCCTCCATAGTTAATTCTCCGGGATGGGGATGTTATTACCCGCACGCATTATGGCCCAGTGTCGCGGTGACAACTTAGCACAGTCCGCACTCGGTGAGCACACTCACTCACCCGTACTTAAAACCGGGAGCACAGCGGCCAGAGCGGAACCCAAAGCGGTACAGAAGGCAGTTCCCCACCACCTACCCCGACATCCAAGAAAAGGCTCTAAAGCAGCTGTGCGCGCCGGGGGCAGCAGAGTGGGGTGAAGGCAGTGTTAGGGAGGGGGGCCGACAAAGCAAACCCTGGTCAAATGCTAGGTCTCACCCGTTTGGGGGCAGGGAAAGGGTGCCTTTGAAAGTCGCCCAACTGGAGGTGAAGGACAGGTGCCGGCCACCGAGCCCCTCCGGGTGGGGGCGGGCAGGAAGGAGCCACGCTGCACCCCTCTGGCTCCAGGCCCGGAGGGGGTCTGAGAGAGGGGAGCGGCCGGGAGGGAGGGAGGGAGGAAAACGCTCGGCGAGCGGGGGTCCGGGAGTCGCAGTCACTCACCCAACAGCAGCAGCTTGAACTCGCGGCGCGCGTCCTTCTTGTCCCGGCGAAGCTGCCGCTCGATTTCGGCGCTGATGCGCTGCGACTCCTTCTCCTCCGCGGACAGGCAGCAGCAGCCGGCCATGGCGCGCGCTGCACCCGACGGCGCGACGCGGTCCCGAGAGCCCCGATTCTCCGCCGGCCGCTCGCCCGGCCGAGCCGCGACAGGCACCCGGGTTCGGAGAGAAAAGGACGAGACCTCTTTGACTTAGGGGAGTACGAGGCCTGGCCTTCGGAGGCTCAGTCCGCTCCTCGAGGGTCGATGCCGAGGCGGGGGCGAATTCGGAGCGCCAGGAACTTGAGGGGATCCCCGCAGCTCCGGGCGCACCAGCCCCACACTCGTCCCGGGGGAGGAGGAGGGCTCGCGGAGAGGATGGGCGTGCGGCCCGCACCCGGAAGATGCGCGCGCCCCTTAGACCGGGAGGCGGACACCAGGTCCGGGGGCGCAGACAGCGCGGGAAAAGTTGGGGCGCCGGTGCCCGGGGCGGGGAGGTGGGAGAGCGGGATCTCCGCGTCCCGGTAGGGTCTCAGGCAGGCGACAGGCACGGCGTCGGTTGGAGGCAAAGGGCCTAGCTCGCCCTTGCCTGGAAAGTTCTGAAAGTGACCGCAGATTAAGACCGAGCTCAAGGGTTTCTGCTGGCGCTGGTGGCTCTAAGTGGCAGAAGGAGGCGGAGCGTCTCGGACCTGCAGCCCTGGCGCCCGCCCCAGTAGGCCTTCGGGGCACGCCAAGCCGTAGGCGCCTGGGGGGCGAGAGGAACCAGTCAGGACGCCCGGGCGTCTGGGGTTCCTGGGAGCAGCTCCCACACCTGCATCGGTGGCTGTGAAGTCCTTGCACCCGGAGGGCCGCCTGCCGAGGTTGCGAGAACCAGCGCGCTCCGGCCTCGGGGCCCTGCTTCTTACCCAGGTTCCGACAGGTGAGCGCGTTTCGCCCGCTTCAGCCTCAACTCCCCCCAGCTGCAGAAAGAGGAGAACCGAGCCGGGCGTCCGCCGCGGGAAGCCTCGCGCCTGGGGCGAGGTTGAACTCTTCACCCCCAAGTTGAGGGTTGCACACCAGCGACACGACCACACACCCTTCGTTTGCTAGACGGGCTCCTTCCGCTTCCCGGACGCCTCAGCCCGGCTCAGGTTTGGCCTAAGCGCTTGGTCAGCTGGGCAGCCTGCCAGCAAGGTGAGGCTGGGCCTGACCCCGGGGGCACTGCGCTCAGAGAGGCAGCTGCCTCTGGGTTCGGTTAAATAGGAGGCCGCCAGAGCGGAGAGTAAACATCCTTCCGGCCCCTTCCTAGGGCACCTGATGAGGAGGGCTGGGGATGGGGAAAATGGAAAACGGCTGGCTACTTTGCATTTTATGACGGGAAAGACTCCTGCTTTGTTAGAGAGGGCTCACACGTTTGCAGCAGCCCCCGGCGTGTTCGTGCCCCAGCCTTGAAGCCTGACAGCCTCTGCCTTGCAAAGGTGTGTCCGCGGCTGCATTGGCCCAGCTCCCGGGACGTCGGAATCATGTTTGAGCTGCATTAATAAAAACTTACAAATTGAACAGCATCTCTTTGTACTCAATCGGTGCAACAGAACGCGTATTACAACATCTGATTTTTGTCTTCGGTCTGGATAGCTTTTGAGGCAGAGCGCCGAGGGGCCCGCGGAAAAAGCAGAAGCGGGAAGGTGGAGGGAGGGGATCCTGTCCTCCCGGCTCGTCCTGTAAACACTTTATGGCTTTAGGCAATTAGTTAATGCGGCCTCTATTAAAAGCGGGCATAAGTGCCTTTCAAATGTGTGGCGTATAGTCAATCAATTCACATTGAGGAACATGCTGAGTGGAAGAGTGGTGTTTGTCATTATACAAGAAACTTGGCATTGCGATGCTATCTGGCTTCAAGGTCTTATTATTTATTTTACAGTTTAGGGAATGGAAATGAATCAGGCATTGAAAATGAATGTGCTTACATCCTTAAATGCTCCCTTCTTTCCTTGCAGGCCTAAACTGACTGTAACAGTTGACCCCCTACAGGCAAAATCCTGGACATTTCTCATCTGATCCTTGGCCAGTTCATCACACTTCTCTCCCTTCGCTCTTACAGACAGATTTACAATTTGAGGATAAGACTGCTTGAGAAGCCAAGATCATCATAATTGTTAATATTTTTCAATGAGTACAATCATTAGTACTTTAAAAGATTAAAGTGACTTAACTAGCCAAATTTGAACCCCAAGTTAGCTGGAATAACTGACGTGTGGATCCAATGTTGCCAAGATTCCAAAAAAAGTTAATGAAATATATTGCTCATGGCACATCTGAAAAACTCTCCTGGACTGGTCAGCTTGGCAGTATCAGAAAGCTTAAATGTGTCCACCCCCTTTGACCAAACTAGTTATTCTCCCCTTGAGAAATAATCAGAGAGAAGTCATGATTTATGTATGAAGGTGTCTATTTCTAATAACAACAATAACCTCAAACAACCTAAATGCTCAACAACAGGAAATAGGTCAAATAAATGACGGTATATACATATAATGATATATTACAACAGTTATTAAGTGTGTGAATATGTAACATGTGAATAGCAATTAAAGATGGGGGGGCAACCTCAAAATACATTGACTGAAAAAGGCAAGATACGAAAATATAAACAGTATGATAGAAATTTTGTAATAGGAATACATGTACACACCTTTAAGAGACTAAGGGGAGGGGCGCCTGGGTGGCGCAGTCGGTTAAGCGTCCGACTTCAGCCAGGTCACGATCTCGCGGTCCGTGAGTTCGAGCCCCGCGTCAGGCTCTGGGCTGATGGCTCAGAGCCTGGAGCCTGTTTCCGATTCTGTGTCTCCCTCTCTCTCTGCCCCTCCCCCGTTCATGCTCTGTCTCTCTCTGTCCCAAAAATAAATAAACGTTGAAAAAAAAAATTAAAAAAAAAAAGAGAGACTAAGGGGGCATCTACCAACAAGGTCAGTCTCTCTGAGTCATCACTTTTTGGTTGACTTTAATTCTCTAATGTAAAGTTGTAAAACTGGTTGATTTTAATTCTCTGATGTAAAGTTATCTAGGCCCCCCCTTTCCTCAACTGTAAAACAAGAGAGGTGAACCAGAATAAGCTCCAAGGGATCTCCCAACTCTGACGTTCAGTTATTTCTTTGGTGATTTTCACACTTAGAAAGTAGTATTAAAAATAATCATAAAACAGGGTTCCTGGATGGCTCAGTCGGTTAAGTGTGAGGCTCTTGATTTTGACTCAGGTCGTGATTTCACGGTTGTGAGATCAAGCCATGCAGTGAGCCCTGCACCAGGCTCCACGGTTGGCAGGAGATTCTCTCCCTCCCTCTCCCTCTGTCCCTTCCGTGCTTGCACACACGTTCTTTCTCGAGAAAAAAAAGTCATAGGGGCACCTGACTGGTTCAGTCAGTTAAGCATCCAACTCTTGGTTTTGGCTCAGGTCATGATCTCACACGTTCATGGGCTCAAGCCCCACATCTGGCTCCTCCCTGGTGGAGTCTGCTTGGGATTCTGTCTCTCCTTCTCTCTGCCCCTCCCCCAATCATGTTCACACACTCTCTCTCTTTCTGTCAAAAATAAATAAGTAAACAAAAAATTCATAAACCTAAATTTGTCACTGAGAACTATAAAAGGATATCGCAAGACAATTATTTTTATGTCTATTTTTTATTAATGTCTCTATTTTTGTTATCTTTCGGATCTAGGGGAGGGATGAGAATAATTTTAAGTTATTAAATCATTTGCAACATTATTCCAGGAAGAGGTAGTCTGGAAAAGAGGCCTCGGTAAAAGAGCATATTTGTTTTCCTGGGTTATTCCCAAAGTATCGCAAGTCCAACCCATCCCTCTTGAAGATCAGAGCACAGCGTGGATGTGAGTTTCAACTACCTGGCAACTGTTGGGTATGTAGACGGACTATGTATCTGGGAGTCCTCTGAATGTCCATTGAGTCCACACCACGCCCTGTACCTGGGCCGTTCCGGGTACCATTCCAGACTTCAGATAGGCTATAGTCTGGTAGAAAGGAGTTAAGATGGAGACCCTGAAACCTGAACCCATCCCTCGGTGCTTCCTCCCAGAGGGAAGACGATGAGAGCATGGAGTCCCTGGGTGGCTCGCCACAGCCCACAGATGTGCAGAGCAGGCCCCTCAGCTAACCTCTGGCTTCAGCTGAGCCTTATTCATTCATCTCCCATCCCTCTCCTGGAACTCCAGACAAACATAACTACACGTTCTCCCCACCTCCGTGTTTTCACACCTGCAGGAATGCCCACTCTCTCCCCGGGGCAAAGTTTGGTACTTTCTTTCCCAAGCTCATCTCTTTGGAGAAACCGTCTCCACCCCTTTTCAATTGGACCCTTCTTTCTCTGCTGTCTAAACACCGTATACATTCCTCTCTTCAACTTCTCGCTCTATTACACCTGTTTTTCTCCAGATCAGTTACTTACAGGTAGAGTTTCTTGTTCATCCTTGTATTTCTCAACTTATAAAATTTAGCTGACTGAATAGAGTTGAAATTAGAAAGAATTTGCCTGAGATAAGAAAAAGAAACTACAAGAGAGAAAAGAAAGCTCTTGTGGTGAAAGACAGTGAAAAACCAAGAAGCAAACCCACAAGAATCAATGTACGATTTAAGAAACACTTGTGTATATAAACTGCCCCCAACTTGCCTCCTTAGAAGGAATGACTGCTCTGTTTCTAATTCAGAACTCCAAGGAAATGTGTAAATAGAGGGTTGGAAAAATGCTGTTCTCGGTGACAAATGTAGCATCTTAGAATTTTAACAGATAACGTGGAGGGAAAATATGACCTCGCTGTTCACAAAACGAAAACAGCACCAATACTAACACACCTATGCTGTTCTGTAGCAGTGTTTCCCAAACTACAGTTGTGACCCTACCCTGGGTTATGACCTACATTTATTTTTTAAAGGAAAAGAATAGAATAGAAATAGGAAATATGCGTCTGCTTGTTATGGTGGCATCAGACTTCTGTTTTTCGGTTGTGTTCATAAGTATGAACTCCTAGCAGACCAGTTATCAATAGGATTTTCTTGTCTGTGTCCCAGATGGGTGGGTCCAAATGATTCCCAATTCATT